AAGGAGGGGGGGGGGGGGGGGGGAACTTGGGGAAACAGGATGATTGGGATAAAGGAAGGTTGGATAGGGGAGCAGGGAAGCACAAATCTTAGTTAAGGAAGCCACCTTAGGTTGGCAAGAGACTTGGACCTAGAGGGGCTCCCAGGAGGCCAAGGCGATGTCCCCAGTTAGTTCCTTGGGCAGCTGAGGATAGGGAACCTGAAATGACCCTATCCTATAGCAATACTGAAGAATATCTTGCATATCACCATAGAACCTTCATCTGGTGATGGATGGAGATAGAGACAGAGACCCACACTGGAGCACCGGACTGAGCTCCCAAGGTCCCAATGAGGAGCAGAAGGAGGGAGAACATGAGCAAGGAAGTCAGGACCGTGAGGGGTGCACCCACCCACTGAGACAGTGGGGCTGATCTATTGGGAGCTCACCAAGGCCAGCTGGACTGTGACTGAAAAAGCATGGGATAAAACCGGACTCTCTGAACATGGTGGACAATGAGGGCTGATGCGAAGCCAAGGACAATGGCACGAGGTTTTGATCCTACTTCATGTTCTGGCTTTGTGGGAACCTAGCCAGTTTGGATGTTCACCTTCCTAGACATGGGTGGAGTGGGGAGGACCTTGGACTTTCCACAGGGCAGGGAACCCTGACTGCTCTTTGGACTGGAGAGGGAGGGGGAGAGGAGTTGGGGAGGGGGAGAAGGATGGGAGGAGGGGGAGGGAAATGGGAGGCTGGGAGGAGGCGGAAACTTTTTTTTCTTTTTCTCAATAATAATAATTAATAATAATAATAATAATAATAATAAAAAGATGTGGTGAAGGCCATGCTGCCAGAGCCCTGGAGACAGGCTTGGAAGCCAGGGAGCCATTTAGCTGTGCTGCCTGCCTTTTTCTTTCTGACACTTTAAACACTTTGGTTCATTATAAATGTCCCTATCATTTCATGCTTTGGTGAGTTATGTCCATGAAAAAGCTCACTTATTATCTATTTATCTAGTGCTACTTGGGGGCTGATTCTGGAAATGCAGAAAGACAAAATACAAAGTGTCATGGCCACAGTCTGTCCTCTGTGCTCCAGGGAGAGGCAGGGAGCAGCAGAGAGAACCACTCCGCCATGGAAGCCTGGCTCTGCCACCAGCAGGCTGGATAGACTTAGGGACATTACTCAGCCTCTCTGACTCCCACTTTCCTCATCTGCACAGAGGAGATAACGGTAACAGCTCTTTCAATAGGTAAAGACTCTGCACTGAAGTTCCAGAGAGAGAGAGAGAGAGAGAGAGAGAGAGAGAGAGAGAGAGAGAGCACAAATCCATTTTTTTTTTTGAAAGAGCAATTCATTGCTGAACACTCTACAAACCAGATTGCTTAGAGCTTCTTGGCCATGGAGAACTGGAATATTGCAGACTTAGAGCCATGTATCTTTAGCTTTCTTAATAGCTTGTTCCTTGCTCACCTCTGTCTGACCACACATCCTTATGACTATCAGGTGAAACTTTTTGGGATGTGTTAATCTAACACACCATTAGCTTCTGCTAACCTCATAGCTAAGGATGCCATCAGATAGCATTTGAGACCTATAGTAGAAGCTTCCTGCACTTTGCTGTAACCTGTCACCTGATGTTCACATTGATGTATTTGAAAAGTGCTTGGATTTAGGATTTTGTTTTGTGACTGAGTTCCTTGTCAAGATATGTTTAGGGCAACCTGAATACTGGACACAGTCACTTATATTTAGCTCTAAAATAAACTCTCACTTATTCTGTTTAAGGTGAGAACTGCGATTTGTGTCAGATTTAGTTATACAACATGTTCTTCATCCTAGCAGGAATCAGTCTTCACTAAAAGGACACCTCTCTTTGACTGGTACCCAGGTGACCCTAACCACCTTACAGACACAATGCTGTTGCCTCCTGCAGCACTGGAGCAGCACCAAGGGCCTGTCCCTTCTCATAGGGAAGAGGCTGATTTCCTAAGGACCAGTGGAGAACTGACATCAGTTGCGGGGCCTAGGGTGAGTAACTTTAGTATTTCTGGAGAATGTTAAACATTGTTTAGGACATGCCATGAATGCTGGAGTAAAACAAGCAAAAACCAGGAAGCAGGGGAAAAGTGGAATTTGTACTTTTTCATGTGGACTAGCATGAGGCTTGCTGCTGGGTAATCCACGTCTGGCCAGGGCAGCTCAGAGGTATGTGCCAAGGGCACAGAGTTAGGAAGCAATAAAAGCAGACATCTCAGGGGCATGGGAATGAATATAATCTAAAGTTTTAGTGGTGGTGGTGATCAAATCTACCTCACTATCAGTCTTTGCCACTTGATCAGCAAGTTTGGCAGGCACAAAGGTACACACTAGCCTCCATATGTTCTGGCCCTGTACTTACTGTCATGCTCCTGTACTCATCCTCAAACATGTCCAAAAAAATCTCTTCTCCCTGCAAGGAAAAGAAGGGAGTGAAGAGAAGTTTACTCCTACCCCATAAACACAGTACTCCAAATGCTGCTCTTGGCTTTTGAGGCCATCTGTTTTCCATTACAAGTTCTTGTAAATCACCAGAAAGTAAAATACACACGTGAACGTGAGTATACATGTGTAGATGAAAGGCCAAATATCAAATTGCACTGTTCAACATTCTCCTCCTCTTTGAAAGCACACTGAGCGAGAGTTCTTCTGTCAGATCACTTAATTAGAGCACAACAAAAATGGCATAATGTATAATTAAAACATAGACAAGGTTAATATTTCAAGTGCTTAACATAATTTCCTTCTCCAGAATGATTGGAAACGGGGGAAATGCTGGGTAAACGACCATGTTAAACATGTGAGGCCCATCCATTTCTAAGGGGAAGGACATAACTTCCAATACTTAGCACTAAGATTATATTGCTTGCTCCATTTGTTTTTGAGGAAAGTCTTGAGGTTTGGTTGTTAGGGGCAATGCACCTTGGACAAAATTCAGCTCCTCCTGTTTAACTGTAAGAATGGGATGGCAAAGATGTTATGTGCCAGAAAAGGACAGGCTGGAGCCAAACTCTGTGGAGGCAAATTAATGCACAGAAAAGGCACGGCCCGAGTCTGCCAGTCAGTAGGGGCTTGGGAGACGTCAGTGCTGCTACTGTCTTGAAGAGTCAGAACCACTGTGTCTCTCTGGGACCAGAATAAAATGCAAATGCAGCTTCCCTTCTGTTTGGGACCAGGAGGTAGCTTCTGGGAAATGGCTCCTCTGTGCCTTTCTATGTTCACAACCTCAACATTCCCAACGGGTAGACAGACTTAGAGCAGTTCTACTGGGAAGAGATCCAAAGAAGAATAGGGCAGTCCCAGGTTTCTTCTTTCTTCTGGGCTAAAGAGGCTCACTGGATTCTTGCTTAAAAGCCAAGTGTGGTTCTCTGAAGGGCAGCTGGGATGTCCTCCCCAGAGTGTGGTGGCCCACAGTGGTGCCCCTTTGTCTGGGCATGTCTACAGCTACAGCTGATCAGGTCACCTGGTCCTGCCAAGGCAGAGCTCTAGAGTACAGGCCTGGGCTTTAGTGCAATTAGCTGACAACGGTGGCAGCAGGAAAGCGAGACAGTGCCACCACTTCCCCTCTCAGGAGTTCCGGAGCTTTGTTCAGGGAAAGCAGGACCAGGATTTATACAAACAAAACATGAGCTCACTAGGGTGACTAGGATGACTAGCCATGTGCATGACCCCACTACAGCTGAACATCGGTATTCTCCATGTGAGGATGTGGAGGGCGTAGGTGTGGAGGGTGTGTGTGTGTGGGGGGAGCGAACCCTCACTGCACACCCATCTGTCTTAATCTTCATTCCACTTGGTGGTTTCTGAAAGGACTGCTGCTGATGGTGTTTTCTCACAGCAGCCCAACTCTGCTAAGGCCCAAGCTAAACTGTTAAAGCTTGATATCCTAAAGCAATCACTTGAGCCGGGCGGTGGTGGCGCATGCCTTTAATCCCAGCACTCGGGAGGCGGAGGCAGGTGGATCTGTGAGTTCGGGGGCAGCCTGGGCTACAGAGCAAGTTCCAGGACAGGCTCTTAAGCTACACAGAAAAACCCTGTCTGGGA